TTAAGGCCATAATTCATTTTAATCATTAAAAATCATATCTTAAGACCCATTGTCTTCTCTATTCTACTTGGATATAAGGGGTGGGGGCTGAAGACAGTCAGACTGAAAACATTCCTAATGTTGTGCTCAATGTGTCACCTGGTGCTAATCCTTTTTTGTTGTTTTGTCAAGTTTCACTTCTGAATGGCATGGTCTATGGCAATAACAACCATAAGACTTTTATTTTGCAACCCTAAAATATTTTATTTCCAAAATACATAGATATCATAATGCTCTTATCTTAAGCCACAAATATATTGGCAATAAATATTAACTTTAAATATTGCCCACAGACCTGAATGGTTCCATGAGAATATTGAGAGTTGCTAGGAATGAGTCGAATAGCCCACGGTAAAGGTGAATTTGGCCATATATTGTGCCTGATTCTGAAATTCACTTGGGCATTCTTGAAGCCTTTAGCAAAGACCCAGAGGGTATCATTTAGCAAGCCACTACAAGAGTGATGGCTTCTGAAGGCATTATTTAAAGAAGGATTAGTTTGGGCACTGGAAGAATCATGCTCTTTAGAGTTCAGAATCTGACAAGCAGCAGCTAAGCTACTGAAAGATGAGCGTCTTGTGGGCATTTATCTGATGATTATAAAAACAGCTAGATTAACTACAATCATCATTTGAAAACTTTCTTTAAGAAAGCAGGCCTTCTGGAAACATTGCTTTTGGTTTCTCTACCTCCAAGTTGTAAGCACTGAAAAGGAAACTTCAAAAAAAAAAGGCAGTTTCATTTAACAGCATCGTGTTTAACAGCCCAGGCTGCTTTCATACAAGCTGAGGAGTCTTTTTCAGGATGAAAGCTGTTACTCTCCTGTACTTTTTAAGACTAAAGGAATGAGTCCGCCTCTCTGCAGAGCAGTCATGGACTATGAGCTTCAGTATTCCCACCTTCGCGTAACTTAAGACAGCCACATTCTACTTCAGCATCACTAGAGGTGCAAGGGAAGAGATGGGGTGGGCTCTGGCTTGGGCCCTGCTGTGGAATGCCAGGTCTGCCGGTCCAAGGCAGAGCCTGCCCCTCCCAGGGCTGGATGCCAGTACACTCCCTCCTGCTGCCCTCTCTAACCTCTCCTCTGGCCCCCAGCTTCACATTTCCCCACATTCCTAATCTCAATCATCAGGAATATCCAGGCCAACAAGTCACCGAGTTATCTGAGAAAATGGTTCTTACACGGTTTGGTTTTTGGCAATTGTGACAAATGGCGAAGTTATTATGTTCCTAACTTCTCTGTCAGTGCTTGCTAGGCTCAGGCTCAGGAAAATGTGATCAATACCCCTTCTGATATCTTTATTGATCAGATATGGCTACTGCTGGCCTGAGAAGAAAGGAAAGGTGGGCCCTTGCAAAATTTCTTCTCACCACTGCTCAGTCAGTATGAAACAGATTGAGATGGTGAGAAAAAGCAAAAACTCTTACTGTGATAAAAAAGACACAAAAAGCATTCTGCAAACACTCTTTCTCACTACCATTATTTCAACACTGGCTTGCCTGCCAATTTTCTGAGATTCTGAAATGTAAACAGATAGAAGAGTTAGTCTGGGCATCTTTTTCATTAAATGCTTAATCACTTAGCTCATTTCCATAAATTGGCATGAGTTCAGTCTCGACTTACTTCTTTTTTCCTTAACCATTTCTTAGGAGACTAATCTGAAGTCCCTAAGAGTGCTTGTTTTTTGTTTTGAGATAGAGTCCAGCAGCTATGTAGTCCAGGCTGGCCTGGAACTTGCAGTGACCCTCCAGCCTCAGCCTCTGAGTACTGGGCTTACAGTCGTGTGCCACCACACCTGGCCATCTTTTCTCATTTCAAAACAATTGCCACAAATGTACAACTTCCTTGGTATATTTTCTAATTATTTACAATGAATCACTTTTACTCTAGTCCACTAACAGGCTTTCTTATTTCACTGCTACATTAATGTTTTCTATTTCATACTTGTTCCATTATGGTATGAATTTAAATATATAATGAACTTACAAGTCATTTGCCTTTAAGGATACATAGTAATATCAAAAGATAGACCCTAAAGTTACCCATCAACATCAAATTAGGGCATTCATGAAGTGTGCCTGTCTTTCTTCAAGGTCTGTCTCTTTATTGTCTGGGACAAATGTGACTTTTACTTGAAAGCCGCATTTTAAATTGTTTACAATGTATCTTGCTAAGTGAACCAAATTAAATTTCACATTTCCCCACTGTACTTCTCATCTATAGCCTTTCATAAGTATCTTTTAAGAAGTGTTTTTAATCATTTTTAACAACTCATTTTTTTTTTTTACATACTATAAAGTTTGTTACCCATTTCACTAACCTGGCTGAAATGTTCCTTTCTGAATGTTTAGAGAATATGGTTATTTGGAGAATTATTATATTTAATAGAATGGCTTCAAATAGAGAATTGAAAAGAGAAAATAAAAGGCTTTTATTTCTTAAATCTTCCACAGTAATTAAAATTATTGACACAAATCTCGAATAAACGCCTACCCTTTATTAAATAGAAGGGTTTAAAATTGTGGATTCTCTCTAGAAATAAAAGAGAAAATGGAAGAAATGCAAATTGAAATATGTGGCTGCCACATAAACGATAATGTCTTGCTCACATGTCAGTCTGTTTCTTCTTTTTTTTCTTCGGTACCAGGGATCAAACTCAGGACCTTGCACTTGCCAGGGAGGCGCAGCATCACTGAGCTCACTGAGCTACATCCCCAGCCCGACCTCTCCACTTCTAAGACATCTTCAAGAGCTATTTCTCACCATGACTTAACTACAAAATCCTCACAAAGAAATTTGAAAAATACTTTAAAAGGAAAAAAGTGAAGGACACATTCTTGAGCACTTCTAATTACTGTAATTCTGCCCCACGGGAGTTTGTCATTCCACACACACTTCCAACCTGCTGCTCTCCTCCCTAAGGCTCTGGAAAAGCCAATTTTTTAACCTAGCAAACAAAAAGATCAGCCAGTAAATTCATTTTAGTAAAACACACTGGGAAGAACAACTGGAGAGGGGGCTAACTGATATTACATTGCCCACTCTAAGGAAAACATTTTAAAAGAAGCAACCAAATGCTAAGGGAAGAGGAAAGTATCCCACCAGGCAAACAAAAGTCTAGAACAGCAGACTTGGGGGACAGATTCCCTGGGCAACAAGAGGAACTAGTGACCCTTGCAAGGGCTCCAGCACCATCATATCCAGAGATTTCCCCAGAAAGAATTTCAGAATGGAGGGAGGGTAAAAACTTTCCCAGCCCCGTGAACCTGAGATGTGCAACTGGGTCCCACCACTAGGTGGCTGGCTGCAAAGGCTGCAGCCGGGGGGCTTTCTCCCCCTCTTCCCTCCAGGACTGTCCAGTCCAGCCCACAGGAGAGCTCAATAGCCCCACCTTGATCTAGTTCACTAAAAATGTCAGATTAGGGGGCTAAAAAAAAAAGAAAAAAGGAAAAATCCCTCAGGCTTTAGTCTGAAGTCACCAAGTAACAGTCTCCCCTAGAAATCTGTTCACACCAAAGCTGAGTGAACAGAAATTGGAGAGAGATGATCTTGCATATTTTAAACTCTGCTCAGTATTTTCAGAGCACTGCTTCTTTCGGGGATTTCAAAATAAACCTTCCGGTGGCTACGTTCGAGCTGCTCTGAAGGGACAAGCAACCATAAAAGTGCGACCTGGACACCCGGGCGAGTGGCTGAAAACCAGTCCAAGGTGGGCAGTGCATCACCCAGACACACAGCCTGTACTGAGCCACAAGGTGATGGAATGGGCTGGATAAACATGAATCGTTTTATTGCTGGCCAGAAACCCTTCCTTCATTCATCAAAGTGGGTGAATGAAAATATTAAGAAGTAGGTATGGCATTTTCATAGGTTGCTTACTGAGGATTCCTCTAAAGTCAAGACCTTACTTAGCTTGCCTTCTACCTTGGGTATCAAATAAAACCTCCTCCCAGGAAAGGGAAAACCACTTCCTTTTTTTATAAAAAACTGTACACCAGGGCCCAAATCTTGACAAAAGAGATGTTACATAAATTCCAAGTATTCCTAAATATCCATGTTTATACACACATAACACAATCTTTTCAGAAAGCAGTTAAGTTTCAAGGCCACTTTTTTCTTTCTTTTTCATCTCAAGGAAGAGTCAAAATACGTGCTGATAGGTAAGACTTAAGATCTAACCCACTCCATTTAGAGGATACTTCCTGCTAGCTACATGCAGGAAATCTGATCATTTGCATCTGAAATGAGTGAAGCACCAGCACTCTTACCTTCCTTAACTAAGACAAAACTAAACAGTTCCGGCATCTGGCCCCCCAACCCCAGAAAAAAATAATCACCACATCTGAAATCCTGAATTATTTTCTAGATGATTTGTACAGCCATCGTTTCATTACTCTATAAACTGGCTAATTCCTTAACATCTTACTTTGCCTTTAAAAGGCTTCCTTCCACACGACGGGATTTCCCTAAGACACATTTCCCAGCGGATGGTTTCCAGCAAATAGTCTCTATCAATTCAGCCTGCACAGGCAGACTTGGCTTCTGCTAATTCTAACACCCCCCTCCCACCATACACACACACCAAATCACACTTACAGAACCAACCATCCCGGACCGACTCAGAAAGCTATCTTATTTTCACGTTTGCCCGTCTCTCCCTGAAAGAATGCTCTTCCAACTGACCTTTCAACAGCTGCTGAGATGGCAAGATCTGCAGGGTCAGAGCTGGAAACTAAGGGGATATTTCAGCATCCTAATCCCTGCAGCCTACTCTGCCCAAGTCCAATTTCTCGGAGACCAAGGGCAGAAGCCCCGCAGCGTTTGCAGAGCAGCTCTCCGAGCTGTCCCGCCGCGACCGACTCGCCGCGGGCATCCCGCACACGCACGGCCACAGCCCACGCGCCGCCGGCACCGCATCCCGGCCCGGCGACTGCTCCAGGCACGCACCGGCCCCGCTTACCTTCCCTGGCTTTCAGCAAGACCGTGTTGGCCACGATGTTTTCCAGCTCCATTGACAGTCGGCGGTCAGCGAGGGAGCCGGCCGGCGGGGCTGTCAGCGCCTGGGTGCTGCCGCTGCTCGGGCCGCCGCCGCTGCTGCCGGAGCCGGGAGCTAGCAGCCCGCCTCGCCTACCGCATTATTCCTGCTCCGAGCCCTCGAGTTTTCCCCCTCTGCACAGAGGAGCCGCAGCCGCCGCTTCTTCCTCCCTCTGTGTCCCCCCTCCCCCCTCCCTCCACACTCTCCCCCCCACCCCCCACCCTCCGCGTGTCTCTGTCACTCCATTCTCCTCCCCTCCGGCTCCCTCGGATGCTTTAATGCCTCGGATGCTTCAGCCTCCCCTCCGTCCCTCCCGGGGGTGTGGTACTCGCAGGCTCGGGCCGCCGCACTACGCAGGCGCAGGCTCGGACGCGCCTCCCGCCTCGGCGCAAGTGGCTCGAGGCCTATTGGGAGTCGTAGTCCTCGGTGCGCCAGGGCGGGGCGAGCTGAGGCAGCAGGCAGAGTCTGGCCGGCCCTCGACTGAGGGCGCCGGAGACACGCCCTGCACGGCGCCGAGAGCGGAGGTGGCCGCCGCCCGGCCGGCAGGCTAGTCAAAAGCACCCCAGGCCCGCGGGAGCCTCCGGTCCCGGGGTGCGGGCCCGCTCGCCTCCTTCCCGCCCTGTCCAGAGCCGGGAACACGGAGTCCTCAGGCCACGGCGGCGGTAGGCGAAGCGCCCCGGCCAAGCGGGAACAGGGCGGGAGCCGTGGGGGTCCGGGTCGCTCAGGCGGGAGTACAGTCAGCCCGCTGCCCACCTGGGGCCCTGTGGGTCCACGAGTGAGCCGCTGGGCGCCGGAGCCGGCATTCGCCCGCCCGCCCGGCCGCTGCCTGCTGTCTCGCACGCACACGTGCCAAGTCGCTCACAGAGCTGCACTTTGTTTGCTTGGAAGGCGGGAAGGGCTCCGCGACTCGGCGGCGACTCGGCGCCTGCCTCGGTGTTGGCGCAGCCCGAGCGCCCCCAGCCGGCTGCGGGTCCACGCGGATCGCGCCTCGGCAGGGATCTGAGCGTGGGAAGCGGCACGCTGTGCTAGTAAAACGTCTTGCAGCGCGCCCGCCCCGCCAGCCAACAATCTTCATTACAGCTGGACTCGCTCAGATAGCCTGAGTAATAGCAAGTCTGCAGTGTGGAGTGTTCATGAGGAACAGGCAGACCAGCGCCAACTCTGCATGGAAGTGTGTTCAAATTCTGGCTTTTTTATGTTGGGACTCCTAGATCCTTCCTCTGTTAATGCTCTGAACATCAGACTCCAGATCTAGGCCCAGTCCCGCTCCTTTGCTTTCTCCGAAAACCCTCGTGCCAGGAAATGGACGTTCTCTCGTCACCTGGGGTCTGCACTCTTGTCCTTTGGGCTGGGGACTGGGCCGCTTGGCCCCAGGGAACAATGAACCCTTTGCCTTCTCTGCTTCTGAGTCTTGCGGGCCGGATATCCGTTCTGAAGCCAACCCTGGGCCGTCTCTGTCCAAAAGGAGGAAACTTTCTGTCTCCAGGGCTGCCAGGAAGTAGCAGGGAGGTGCTGAGAGAAACAGAGAACAATTATTCATTGGAGAATATAAAAAAATTAATAGCCTTTCCAGGCCTTCGAAGCTGGATTCTAACAGCCCAGGATTGTCTTCTTTCCTGGTGGATATATCCGACGCCACCAGTTCCTGTTGTCTAGATTTGGGTCAGTGGGTCTCCCTGGGCCTCACTTAACCTGTCTGCAAAGTTTGCGTGTCAGAAGGCAGGGAGCTGAGCTTGGGCCCCTTTCATTCCCGGAAGTATTGTTCGAAGCCACCCAGGCTTGCTCTTTGCTACAGAGCACATGCCCAGAGCCATAACTTGTGATGAAATGATGGATCTCGAAAAGAGAGCCACTTAAAGCTGGCAGCATCGTAGAGCCCACCAACTACAGTGGGCCACTTGCCCACAGCCTAGGGCCGGATCCGACCAAAGTTTATTTGGGTGACATTAAAAAATAAATAAATTTGAATATTTTTAAGTGGCTTGTGCTCCATAACAACCTGGTTAGGTTTCTTGTGCTTACAAATGCTGGGGCTCTTATAACAAAGCAGATGCTGGTTAAAATGCAGACCTATGTCTGGGGCAAGTCCTGAAATTCTGTTATTTCCAACAAACTCTAAGGTTCTGCCAATCCTGCTGGTCAGTAGCCTACACTGAGTGTCAAGGCTCTGCAGTTAACCTTAATCCTCACCACTCTACTGAAGTCAACAGTGATTTTACCTATCTGGCCTTATGGACATTTGAATTTGCAACCTTGGAAACCTCTGCCTGTCTCCCTCATTTTATTGATGTGAAACAGACCCAGAGAGAATAAGTGAATCCTGCTGGCCACTCAGCAAATAGATGTTAGCCTATCCAATTTTCTATTCACTACAGGTAATGCATCGTGGCTACAAAATAAATGATTGTATGTCAAGTATCTGCTTCTATGAGGAAACAAGGGCATTCCAGTGCAAGAATGGAACAACAATGGCTAGCATTTACTCAACCCCAACACAGGGCCTGGCCCTGTGCTATTTGTTTTGTATTGATTATCTCATTGAACATAGCATCTGCATGTGATAGGGAACATAGCTCTATTTTTCAGACAAAGAAGGTTTATTATTTTACTAAGGTCACACATAACTAATAATAAAAGACCTGGGATTTGAACCCAGCAGCTGACTCAGAATCTGTACACTTAATTTCTGCATGGCTCAGGCTGGCTGGCACAACTTGGTTGTGACTGTTATGTTTGGCTGCCAGAGTAAACTTGTAAAAGGGCAAATGAGGCAGTTGACTAAATGAGTAAGACATAAGGGAGGTTTCATTCCAGTCCATAATTCCACCATTATATGTACAATTAACTACATTACCAACTCAGTCCTCATGAAAAATGGGCTTGCTTCGAAGGTAGTTTGTTGGGCCAGGGATTTAGCTCAGTGGTTCCGGCGCCTGCCTCACAAGTGCAAGGTCCTGAGTTCGATCCCCGGTACCAAAAAAAAGAAGCTTAAGTCAGCCAAAGGTAGTTTGTTAAGGGCCAGGGATTTAGCTCTGTGGTTCCGCCACCTCCCTTGCAAGTGGAAGGACCTGAGTTCAATCCCCGGTACCGAAAAAAAGGTAGTTTGTTAAGTATCTAACTAAGCAGGGAATCATTGACAGCCAGCTGAGAACAAGAGCAGAAACCGAAATGGTGGTACAAGTAACAGTGAGAGAAATAAGAATATGCCAAAGACAAGCACTGACTTCCAGTTGCACTCAGCTGAGCCAGAAATGCAAAACACACAGGGAATCTCATTCTTCTGTGAGCACCTGTATCTCCCATGGATATAGATGCAATTTGTTATTCTGGAAAGCCACAACCTATATTCTTTGTAAAATAAGGGTTCCTTTTGTCTGAATAATCAGGTTGGCTCTGCTAGAGATGGAGTTTTCATCTTTTGCTTGCCTTTCAGTTTGTAGATCCTCAGGAAGCAGTTGCAAAGAGACCTTTCTTTCTCTTATTCCCTTCTTCGAAGTTTATGAAGGCAATTTCCCTGGGAGCTCACGACTAGGAAGGAACACAGACTGGCAGACAGACTCCCTCCATGGTGGAAGAAAGGCCATCATAGAGACATACACAAAGGACTTTGCAAGCAGAGAGGAAGAACTCGTGTCAGGTTCCTAGGAATTCTAAGACAAGACAATGGGAGCTGAAAGTGGGTTGGAGGCATGAGGCTTCCTGTTAATATTCCCTACACCCTAAAAAGCCCTTCATCAATGGACCCCAGCCAGCAGTTAACAAATTTGACATTAGAAATGTTGCCGTGCAGTAAACCACCTATCATTCTTTTGGTGACTTAATGGTTGGTTTTTTTTTTTGGTACTGGGGATTGGACCTTGCACTTGCAAGGCAGGTGGCAGAACCACTGAGCTAAATCCCTGGCCCAACTTAATGGTTTTAATGTTGGCTCACTTTAAAATTTGGTTTTTTTGGTACCGGGGATCAAACTCATGTCCTTGCGCTTACGCAGCAGGCGGCGAAACCACTGAGCTAAATTCCCAGCCCCTCACTTTAAAATTTTTTAAAGTCTTCTGTACAGTATTAGTCTATTTCCTGTTGCTAATAACACAGTTTCCTAGACTGGGTAACTTTTAATTAAAAGTTGATTTTGGCTTACAGTTCTGGAAGTTGAAAGTTAAGGAGCCACATTTGGTGATGTCTCTTGCTGGCAGAATCCTGAAATGGTATACAGTGTCACGTGATGAGAGACAAGAGACATGGAGCATGTATGTCCTTTGGTTCTGAGCATCAGGTTAAGTTTCCACTCTCTTAACACTTCATAATGGGGATTAAACATCAACATAAATTTTGGAAGTGATAAGCCATATTAAAGTCCAGGTATCATTTTAACCAGTGACATCTGTGAGGAGTTATAAAAGTACCACACTCTGGGAAAAACTGATGACCTCCAAGCCTCATGAGAAATCTTTGTAGTCTTTGGTTTCAAGATGAATTGGTTGATCTTAATCTTCTGGGAGGCTTCACCCTGGTATTGCCAAGTGATTGTTAACCTATAGAGACGTCTAGACACTCAGCTCCACAACAAGACATACAGGGTCAGCTGGTTTGCATCACTTCTCCACAGCAAGTTCTAAAGAGATTCAAGCTAAAATGCTCTTGCCTACTGATGGTCCCAGCTACATGTGGTCTCCAAACTCCTGGCACTATAGCAGTTTAACAGGACCTCACTATTACCCAAGCTGGCCTCAAACTTGCAATCCTCCTGCCTCATCCTCCTCAGCAGCTAGGAGTACACACTTGAGCCACCATGCCTGGCTCTAACATGTTCTTTCTTAGTAAAAAATAAAGGGCCCCTTCCCTGATGCCATGTTTATGTAGGAGGCTCTTGATAGGAGCCTTAGTGCAGCCCTGAACTGTCGTAAAGCTTAATGAGACCACTTCCTCAGTCTTGCCACACACAGACCCTTTCTCCAGTACCCTATCCCATTACTGTACCCAGAACCTTGATTCCTAGCCCAATCCTATAAGGCAGGTACTGTCTAAAGACATTGTCAGCTCCATTGTGTATAGAGGAAACTGAGCCACAGAGAATTTTTTGCCAGAGGTCAAAGTGTGGGATAAGGCTAGTTATTTGGTGAGTGTCTACCTTCTCTATGTAGAGACCTGAAATATGTCTTTTTTTTTTTTGTACCAGGGATTGAACTCAGGACCTTGTGCTTAAAAGGCAGGCACGGTGCCACTGAGCTAAATCCCCGGCCCCTGAAATATGTCTTTTTCACCTTTTGAGTCTCTTCACTATAGAGCCCAGTAAGTGCTTATACATAGTGAGCATTTGGCAATATTTGCTTGTACCACATATGGGATGACCAGCCCCACCTACTTATACCACAGGATTCTAGTTATACCATGCTAGTTAACTATCAAAATTAAGATCAGATCAGAGTTTGAGAAAAGTAGGGGAAACTAGCCTCCTGGAATAAGGTTCATCTGGTACAGAAAACCAAAGGCAATGCCCAGCCCCCAGGGCTTCCAGCTTTCTTATTGGACCTCTGTCCTCAAATCTGCTATCAACCCAGTGATTCACCTGGTTATTTTTTTTTTTTTTGAACTGGTATTTAAACCCAAGACCTTTGCACTGAACTACATCCTCAGCCCTTTTATATTTTTATTTTTATCTTTTTATTTTTTTACTTTTTCCAGTACTGTTGATCGAACTCAGGACCTTGCACTTGCCAGGCAGGTGTGCCTTTTTTATTTTTCATTTTGAGACAGAGTCTCACTAAATTGTTAAGGCTGGACTTGAATTTGCAATGCTCCTGCCTCAGCCTCCCAGAATGCTTGGATTACAGGTGTGCACCACCACACCCAGCTAGTCACCTAATTTTTTTTTTTTTTTTTTTGGTACTGGGGATCGAACTCGGGTCCTTGCCCTTTTGAGAATATGTTTGCTATTATTCTAAGAGGAAGAAAT